GATGCTGCGAACCGCCTCGGGGCGAGACTGTCCAAAAATGAGATTACGAACAGACTAAGACGCGACAAAGACTTCTTTGATATCGCTCCCGGGGACAGGATGTGCGTCGCGTTATGCTCATTCGCCGGCGAGATCAAACACCCTCCTAACCCTTTGAGAAACGCGTTTGTACGTTACGCCCTCGCGTTTCCATCGGTGCGTTCACGAAAGACGTTTACGAGGTGTAATCAAAAATTCCTGGAGGGAGTTTTAGCGTCGTTCGCCTCTTGGCGATCCACGCTTAGCCTGAGATTTTATAAAAATAGCGATATAACGATTCCTCTGGTCTTACGAACGAGACGAATACATATTTTCACTGATTTATTAACCCTGGAACTACCGAAATGCTCACAATGTCCCATTCGTAATTTCGAATAAAAATTTTCACATTGTAGTTTTCTATAAGAGAATGAATAAAGAGTATCTATCGTTTTAATTTCATTGGTAATGGGGTTTCGAGATCCCAGAGAAATGGGCCGAAAATATACATTGGGTGAAAGATCTATTCGTATACCTCGTCTGTGACAATACTCTAGAATCTTTGATGGATCGATGAGAATCAAAACTGACCTAGCGATGAAGCTCTATGTTTATGATGACCTATGCAAGGCGGATCGCAGCCAATTTGCTAATATTATTTAGTTTTTAATTAATAACCGCATTACCCAGCTAAGAGCGATACGATTATCAATTAAATGGTAAATAATATTACCCAGGTCCCACCACGTGGAGGTTGCTGCGAATGGAGACCCGCCCTAACCGATTCCCAACCACCCTCCATTAATAAAGATCTTCTGTGACCAACGATCGTTGGTCGAAGAAGCAATAAACGAAAGTGCAACCAACGAAAGAGTTCTTTGAGCAAGAATTTGCCTCTAAATTCTCATCAACAAAACAGAGAAATAGACCAAAATAGCTAAAGGGAATTGAACAGAGTATATTAGCAAAATGTTACAAGAATTTAAGCTGAAACGTAAAAATAAAAATCTTATATTAATCAGTGTCATCGAAACAAATATGGTATATGCATCGACATAATGTTATACATATCAAAACCAACATTCGTAATTGTAATGAAAGAACACCAAACAATCAAACGAAATGGAAGAATCGCATAAATTCGAAAAACAATGTAAAAGTAGAAACAGAGAAAAGGAATATTCATAATACCCAAATAAAATCAGATAGATAAATACAGTTGAATTCACATCAAACAAACAAATAAAAATAATAAAATATAAATAAGTGGAGTGGACTTACTACTTGTTGTCAGTACATAGGGTAGTTACCACTGGGCCAGCTGTAAAATAAGAAAATATTCATATTATAGCAGCATCAGTTAGTCGAGGAAGGCAAAATCAGTTCAGTGAAGCGAAATTGGTATCAAACGATAGAATAGGAGAGGGGAGAGAATTTTTAAACAGTTCTTACCATTGGTCATCACCGTCCGGCACTGGTCAGTAGTGGTCAGTAGTGGTAGGAGCACTAGTCAGAACTGGTCAGTAGTGGTCAGTTCTGGTCAGTTCTGGTCAGTTCTGGTCACCAGTGGTCAGCCCGACGACCCATTAAAACCACCACAAAGTCGAAGATTAAAGATTAAAATCTTCTTAGAAGGATCCCCTTAAAATTGAATGCACGATCTTTTTAACATTTTGTCCCACTTTGAAGGAGTGTATTTCAAGACTAGGAAATAAAAGAATAAAGTCAATCGGGCATCCCAACTTGAAAATTCGGAGGTAATTTTAGCGTTCTTTTCTCATGGATGGCGATCAGTTGAGAAACTATCCACTGAATTAGTGATGATGAACAGACAGCTGTAGTGTGTTCGTAAATATATGTGAGTTGACTATGAAAGTTTCCATTTTTTATCCTGATGTTCCAGGGTTTGAAAAGCTACCTTATTCCTCGGTGTATACGGAGCTCCTTAAACGGAATTGATTGCGCGATTTAGCCAAATTCGAGGTTGAAATCATTCGTTAGAACGGATAAAAAGATCCAGCGGATAGCTTCTAAGTATCTCCCGATCGTTCCCAGTAGCCGCCACAGTGAATTTACACGGGTGAAAAATCTGTTTTCGTTTCGAGCCGGTGTCTCGGATAGAGATCCGAGTACGCGACGATCGCCAGCCACAATCGGCTGGATCATTACTATTCTCGTTGCATCCGTCGCGACGCGCGAACCTTAATGCATTCGCCGCTCCCGTAATTCTCTCACGAAGCCCCGCGTGCCATCGCCGCCGCCCCCCTTGTCGCGGAAACTTTCCCGTTTCGAGGCATCGACTATCAGAAGTGGAAAACGCTTCCAGGGGCCGGGGAAAAGCCGTCGAACGCGATCCGGGGGGAACGCTCGAGTTCGGGATTGCACCCGGAGGAGCTCATACGTTATTCCTCGCGCACGCGGACGTCCCATGCAACGGGTGTCCCCGAATAATCCGTCCCGCGGAGCCGAAAAATTTTATCGTTTCCCGGTCCGCTGGAGGGGCGATTTAATTTTTTATATTTCTGGAAATTCCGTTTCGTCTCTACCGGATGATTTATTCGAAAGGTTTCGGAAGGTGACCGTAGCTGTCCGTGGCCGATCGAACGGACCATCAATTACCCCGGTGCCGGTCCGGAGAGTCTCTTTCTGAAAATTTCACGCGACATCGTTCCGTTGATCCCGCGGACCGTGAAGGGGTGGGACCGGGCGCGGCATTTTCCCCCCGAGTCTGGCATTATGCCGGGGCGTCCGCGTGTTTTTCTCCTTTTCGCCGAGGCGGCGCGGGGGCGTCGTCGGGCTGGCATTTTTTCAGTGTCCCTCGGAAAAAATCTATAAATCTCGCGCGTGAGCCGGCGCGTACGTCAGGACCATTCGTCAGCGGGCAGATTGCAGCCGGGGGGGGAGGCTGGATTTCGAGCCGCCGTCCAATGGGGGTGGTCGAAAAAGGCTGGACGGCCACCCTCTGTCCTCCGTCAGCCCGGGACGGCTTCGTCCCCGCGCGCAATAAAACCGCGAGCGATTTTTACGATCGAGGCCGGATCGCATGACGAGGTAATTTACCTTCCAAGAGAATTCTCGGCACGCTGACGCGGTGGTTACGTGTCGAGCCGCGCCACTTCAACCCCCATCGACGCGAAACCCGCGGCTTTCCACCCCTCGCGCCGGCACTCCTGCGGACGTTTTGCCCGCGGCTTTTAGCGCCGCCAGACGATGGCCTCTTCGGGCCCGTTCCTCCCTTTGTTCACAGGTCGATTGCTATTGCAGGAGCTTCCGCTTCGTCTTCTTCTGCGACATCGATTTTAACAGTGAAACGATCGAGGAAAGCGTGCACGTGTGGAAAGAAAGTAATATTAACACTAGAACTACCGACAATTATAGTGTGTTCATTTGTACCAAAGAAATTGAAACGATAGTGTCGGATGGCACGCATGAATCATAGTATTTTTCCCCTTGAGTCACATCGCTGAGTAAGGCCGTACAAAGTCAGTGTAATCATCCGGCTCCCCTTCCCCTCTTGTACAAACCGACAAATAGGGACAAAACCCCGAAAAAGGGCCTTCTTGTACTCAGTCGAATCTGTAAGCCCTGTCGACACTAAACAAGTCTACGCCACTAACTCGTATTCTTCCTTGGACTCCAACAATAGATACGCGAAGAAATATATAATGCAATGGAAATAAGTGTTTATATATTCTCCTATAGAAAATTGCGATAAATTTTCAAAAATTCAGTCGAGTTAATTTTTTGCAAGTTTTATTAGAAATTACGAATGGGTCATTTTGACGGGTTTGGTAGTTCTAGCGTTAATAAAGATATCGATGGAAGTTTCGTTAGGTTAATTGGTGTATTCTTGATTATTAACCATCCTGTTACTAAAATTACACAGTCGACGGGCCACGATTTCAGAAAACAAAAAGAATATGTGAGGAGAGTTATAGCTTTACATACCTCGTCGAGGGTCGTTAGCGGCTCGCGATAAACTTGGCTGTTTAGATGCTCTCGGAGAAACTAATCAACTTTATCTTCATCGCCTGTCATCGAAGAGTGTTTCGGTAATTACTCTTTGCTTAACCGGTGACGTTCAACGCGTTATACTGCCGAACAAATGTATCTCCTTTAATATTTCAACTTCTGAATTAATTGCTTTTGTCCCATGGCTAAAAAATCCTGTCATATATCGAGAATGTGACAGTCCAAGTGTTAGAAAATATTAGAATTCACAATACAAACAGTCTAGATGATCTCGCAAAACACATAGGTGCATTTTACGAGGGCGTAAACCTAACTTGGAACATCGTTGCGATTTATCAGTCCAGCAACGTCTTCGCGGAGGATCGTATAAAATCCATTTCTCGTTCCCGGTTACTAAATGCTATAACAAAGTCTTTATCGCGGTCAAACGAAGATACGTATACGTTGCACGACCGAGGAAACTGCGTTTTATAAACTCTTCGACATTGCCTCAATTTTGTTCAAATGTCTATCAATTATTTGAAAAGTTCGAACAGCGTGAACTAGTGGGACTGTTCAATAGAGATTTACTATGGAAACTGCGTTCTATAAACCCTTCGATATTGCCTCAATTTTGTTCAAATGTCTATCAATTATTTGAAAAGTTCGAACAGCGTGAACTAGTGGGACTGTTCAATAGAGATTTACTATGGAAACTACGTTCTATAAACCCTTCGATATTGCCTCAATTTTGTTTAAATTTCTATCAATTATTTGAAAAGTTCGAACAGCGTGAACTAGTGGGACTGTTCAATAGAGATTTACTATGGAAACTGCGTTCTATAAACCCTTCGATATTGCCTCAATTTTGTTCAAATGTCTATCAATTATTTAAAAAGTTCAAACAGCGTGAACTATCTGATTTACTATCTCGAGCGTCCGTTTAAAAAATTCGTAGATCGAATCTAATTAGTTTAATTTGATGCAATTGATTTTGACTGACGCGAGGGTGTTGTTTGGAATGTTTTCAGATTGGTCTCGTCGCCGACAAGACCAAACGAGGCGGCGAGTAGCAGTAGCGGCGCGACGCAGCACGCCGCGACGTTCGCGGTGCGGGTGGGCACGATCGACGGCGTCGTGACGCATCATTTGCGCGCCGAGACGAGAAGGGACCTGGCAGCCTGGGCCAGGGCGATCGTTCAGGGTTGTCACGCGGCCGCCCACTCGTTGCGCGAATACACCGTTCGTAAGTAATCAATTTTTAAACGAGTCGAACTCTCTGACAATCAATTTTTAAACGAGCTTTTTTTTTATTTTATATTTATATTTATATTTATATTTATATTTATATTTATTTTTATATTTATTTTTGTTGTATTTTTAAACGAACTCTCTGGAGCAAACGAAAAGAACTTTCATTACGTCCCAAAGTAATCCAAGTAGCACTTTTTTAACCCGTTGCCCCACGATTTAAAGTCCAACAAATTGAGCCTAGAATTTAAACAAAACTGCCCAGCCTTCGAGCCATTCCACAGTGATACGTGGTGTCTACAATTGATCCGAATACCTGACCACAACTCTCACACGTGATAATCAGTTTAGGCCCGAATACCTGACCACGAGTCTCGCACGTGGTTGTAGAGCAAAGGGTTAACGGAACCTCGACGTTCCCCTAGATTCTTGCAAATCGATCGTAACGTGAAAACAGAGTGAACATTTAGTCGAGAAAAGATGGAGGCGCGCCGAGCGTGATTGCGAGTGTTGGATCTCGTTTCTTTGTCGTTCCGTTGGTCGAAAGAGAAATATGGCGAATAAAGAGCGGAATTAATTGTGCTCCGAAATTCCAGACATCGATCAAACTGTCCCCGTCCCTCCTGCCCCCCATGGGAAACAAACAAATATTTTCCTATTTCGTTTTCGAGCGTAATCGTTCGTTCCACGGGTCGAGCGTCCCGTGTACGCGTTCGAACGTGAAATAAAGAGCGGGAGAAAAACAACGGGGATCGCGCGCGCATACATCTTCCCGGCGGGAAGGGAACCAGCACAACCGGGATATATCCCGATCCTCCTCGTTGTCCTCGACGGGCGAGAAGCGCGTCGGCCGTTCGCTTCGATGAATTTTAATTTCTTTCCAGCGTGGACGAACGGCAATAATAAATCGAGATTAATGCCCGACCCAGGCCGGTTCGCGCGAGCTTTTTTCGATCCCCACTCGTCAAATCCATCGATCACGAACACCCTGGTTCTCCACGGCCGGAGAAGGACCTCGAATGGACTAGAAAAATCGAAAAGAATATCGCGAACCATCCAACGGCGTCTAAAATTTCCAGCGTGTTCGGTTCACGGGCAATTGGGTCGAAATAATCGAAAATTCTATAGTTGATCCCGGGAATATCAGAGAAGATGTCAGAGGACACGTAGAAGAGTGCTACTTGGGTAAAATATTTAAAGTCTCTCGGTACGGGTAGAAACGATGTTCCGGAATTTAATTTAACAAGAGAGATAAAATGCAACGGAATAGGTATAATGGTTACGCAAGTCTCCCGGAATATAGAAACTCGTTGAAAGAAAATGACGGAAGCGGTGTAACGTTCGAAACTACGTTGCAGGGTACATAAGGAATAACGAGACGTTTGCTTTCTAACGAGTATAAAAAATTAATGTGGAAACTGACTCGAAGCAGAGTGTATGAAAGACAAAGGTATACATAGGTGTCTTTCGCGATTTCCAGGGTGCACGTGGCAAGGAAAAGCTTGCCAGTTGGTTGTGAACCACGAGGACGGTTTCGCGTTGTACGCTGCCGGGACCAGGGGCGTGGGTGGAAACGGGCTCAGTCCTGGCTCACCCCCGGCGCCCTTATGGAGACGATCCTTCGACAAACTGAAAATGTCCGCCGACGACGGGGCGCGTCTGCTGTGGCTCGATTTCGGCGGGGAGGATGGCGAGATTGTGAGTAATCCACGAAATTCTTTCGATAATTAGCGAAGCAAAATAAAACAGAAAGACCATTAACACTAGATTGACCAAGGAAGTCATTTTGACTGCTTTTTAATTTCAATTAGAAAAACAATTATGTATATAATGACACAATTTTTGTACAACATATAAATGCGTTTATTAATAATTGTAGTTACCTCCAACCTCCTTCATTTCCAGTATACATATGTGTTGTACCTATATTGCCCAAAAGCAGTCATTTTAACTGCTTGGAAAATTTTAAATAATCAAATGACTTTTATTATTGAATCGACTAAATCTCTTATATGACCAGTTCGGCTCTGTATTGAAATAACAGTTTTCATTTTTTTTTCAAGTTACATGATAAATTGTCGATTTGGGCGTATACTTGATAATTTGCAGTTTCTCGATAAGCTAAAGTAGTACTTGTTATTCGAATCTTTATGCAGTGATACTTGTTCCAACAAGTTGTTTATTTTATTTCTTTTGCGCCCTAAATTCATAATATTAAAAATTAATTTTAAACAAATTTCTTTACACATTAGTTATTCTTTCACAATGCGGTCATTTTGACTGCTTTTCGGCAATATAAGTATATACTAAGTTTCAGTCTTTCTGGTGTTAAAGAAGAAACTTGACAGCTTCTTTTCCATAAATTTTGAACAATAAACAGAAATTCATCCGATCGATGAAAACCGAATTTTCTCTCGAGAGTATCGAACACCGTTAAAAGATCCGTTAGTGCGAAAATTCGACCATGGTAGGCGACTGCATGAAATTAGCCCGAGAAAAATAGCCCGCTGGAACAGACGTGGCTGATAATGCCGCGACAAACGAAATCTCGATCGAAAGGACGGGCATTGTGGGAAGAAAGCGGTGGTACCTTTCTTGCCGGGCAAAGTATTGAGAATTTTAATTGACTCGGCGCAGACCATCGAGATGATTGTTATCGCCGACGGGGGCGCGCAGCTACCGCGAAGAAGGGAGGAGGCTGTGCGCCAAGTAATCCCATTGTGCTCGTCACTTTCAAAGAGCCCTCGACGCGAACGATGCCGGAAATACGTACTTTACATCTTCTCCGAACACTGTCGTCCGGTACCGTTCAATGGCCATTCATAACCGCGCGCCGTAGGGCGGGGAAAGAAGCCATCGGAGGAGAGAATCCACCGCGACAGACGTCTCGATGGAAAAATTATTCCGCTCTCGAGCAGCCTGAAACGAACCTGCAAATGGAGAATCCTCGAAATCGTTCCCCCCTCCGCCCCCTCTTCGGAATTTTTATTAAGCTCGACGATGACCTGGCAAGTTCGACCCCGACTGTTCGATATCCCAAGAATATGTTCGCGATAAGCAAAAAACAAGAGACTTTATTGCTCTCTCTATGCGACTCGTTCCCCTCTTTATAGGATCTCAATAGTTCGAACACTAATTTTTAATGAAAATTCGTATCCATTTGGTGCAATTCCCTCCCTTGCAAAGGTCAGTACTACCTGAGGAGGACACTTGTTTATAGCACCCCCTAAGAACAGCATTTTCGATTTGTAAAACTACATTAATTAAATACATACTGTAGCAAATAAATATTCAACATTTTTGCCAGGTCGTAAATGGAGGAACCGACGAAACGCAGGGTTTGTAATTCTTAATTTGAATCTCCGTAGGAAACTTGAAGTCCTCCGCTTCTTGTCGAGCATTCGAATCTCGAGTTTGTTTCAGCTTAGAAGCGATGGTAACTTGTTTGGTGGATTCGTTGATCCCCGGTTGGTACGGCTAAACTTGACGATCCGCGTACCGTTTCAGGAGCTGGACCTCGAGAGCTGCCCGAAGCCGATCGTGTTCGTCCTGCACAACTTCCTCTCGGCGAAGATCCACCGGCTCGGATTGAGCGCATAGGGGTACGAGGGGGCCCCGACAGAGGCCCCCGACCTGCCGCCCCACACCACCAGGTCCGTCACCAGCGTCTTCCTTCACTGAACTCGATCCGACCGAAAGAGAGGAGGGAAGAGAGAGGGTGCCAGGCAGGAGAGAGCAACGAAGACCACACACAGAGACTCGACGGTCCGGGAAGACGCGTTGGAGGTTTCCGCCGGAAGGGACGTTCGCATGTTCGAGACGATGCTGATAGAGAGAGAGAGAGAGAGAGAGAGAGATAGACTCTTTTAACGCGAGAGAAAATAGAAGAAAGTATACATGGGCGACTCGAAGCCATCCACCTTGGTCGCGATTTATCGAGGAAAGCACATCCGTAGGCTAGCGTCCAGCGGGAGATTGGGTCGGGCTGGAGGGAATCGTAACTAATCAACGCGCCTAAGTAACCAATTAAAACTATCTACCTAACGCTAAGTAAGAATAACACGACCGGTTGGGGTGGGAGGGGGGTGAGAGAGGACTGAGAGGAGAGTCCAGCTGGTCGAGGAGGAACGTTCTCGATCGAGAACGCCGACTAGAGGAAGCTAATCAATTACTGTCCAACCGCGCGCTGCCCGTTGGCTATTTCGGGCTCCGAAACTTCTTCCCTTGTCCATCGAGTCCTCTTACGCGAACCGTGGCGCGGCCAAGTTCGTAAAGAGAGGGGGACGTCGCGCCAGGGGATGTTCTTCGACGTCCGAAAAGAGACTCGTACGGAAGTTTCCCGTCGATTTGCGGCGGGATCGCGAAAACTTTCCACGAGATAACGCGTCTCGCGATTTACGCCGGGCTCTCCCGTAGATCGAAACGTCGCGAATCATTTCCGATCCGATCGCTATCGACACCGCGAGTTTCAAGAGTTTCCGACGAATCGAGGGTCTCACGGAGCCACACGGATCTCGGGACAGTTAAAAACGGAGCCGAGGAAAGTCGAGGAGGACGAGATAACGATCGCGTGGGATCTCGTCGAGGTATCGAGGAGGCTCGATCGGGGGATCGTACGATCCCCTCCGAGCGTAGACCAACGGGCGGACGTTAATAGTTGTTTTGTACGATTCGTATTCTTAACGCGAGTAAATGTAAGATGCCAAGAAACGTCGATGTGTATAATGGTAGCTGCGGGTCTGCTGCTCGATGTTCTTCTTCTCTTAGGGCTAATTCGCGGCGGGCCGATCACCGTGATTCCATTGTTTCTTTGCTTCCACGGATAAGCTTTGGAGGCCGAGCTTTGGCCAGAAAAGTTCCTACGACGTGCAAAATCGCAGGCTGCGTAATATCCAATGATGTACCCCTTCTCCCAGACAGATTCTCGCAAATCGAGACCCGATTGACCTCGCCAGCCCTCTGACAAGAGTTCCTCGACCACCCAGCATGGCCAAGGCAGCTCGATTTGTAAATAAAACGCTACCACCTATCCGTAATCTTCCTTCTCGCAAGTAGAAGATACCGAGTGACCAGCGCTCTTTTTATAAAATCAAAATTTAACACGCGATAGATCGAAACTTGATCCTGAAATATCAACTAAAAAAGTAGCGTTGAATATGAAATTATTTGGAATTATAGCTTCGTTTTCGTTTGAAATTATAGACTTTTAACGCTGTTTATAAGAGGGTATTATTGTATCGTGGGTTAGATTTTGAGGCCGAGAGAGCGCTGGTAGCGTCTGTATCCTTTCCTCGTTAGTCCGTCGATCGCAGGCTGTCGTCCGGAAACCGAATCCCAGGTCGCGGATCATCCCGGGAGCGGTTGCAAGCCGCAAAAGTGTCGCTGGTCGTAATCGTGAACGGAGAGGATCGTCGCGATCCAATCTCGCCGCGAGTTAGCCAACGTGGGCGGAAGAGATCGGGCCGGACCGACGATTTATTCGCATTACGAGGCTACTCCCGAAGCCACGAACAACTTATCGAACCGACGAGCGTCCGCGCGACATCGGGATTTCCTTTCATCCGTATAAATCCGAAAGAACGCACGGGAGAACGAATCGCGATCGCCGGCGCGACGAATGTGTTCGACGAGCAACTTACTCGGCCACAGATTTACGGACGTTCCATACTTACGGTCACCAAACTCGTAAATGTCATTTGTTGGCAATTTCGATTCATTGAACGAGCCTATATTAACCCCTTGACTCACGATTCAATGTAATTTTTCAAATGTATACTGTTTAATTTTGTTTAAATTCGTTCGTACAAGGAAAAGAATAGATTTGTTTTACGAAAAAAATATGTTGATTTCAATTTGTAAAATTTGATTGATGGTGGCTTGACAATTATGGATCTTGACATCAAGAACTTGTGACGAGTCAGACAATGGGTTAAAAAAAACAATTTGATCCGTAGATCTAGCGTCAACGTTTCTGTAGGAAAAATACAGTGTCCAAGATTTCTTAATTTATATCGACAGACGCCTCCGTTAGCCCAGTGTGCGGTAAAATGGCGGAACCGAACAAAGAGGCGTCGAATTAATTCGTGGACCCGTAGCGTTTCGTACAGAGACATTATTTAAAATTGCTCCGCGTTGTTCGGCGAGCTGCGAACGGGTTTCGTTCGACCGTGATACGGGGTCTTCCCCAAGAATTGTTGAGTGTTACCAGAGCGGCCGTACAATAATAAGATTTCGACATTAAGTAGAACATATCAACGAAGCCACGTACCATTGGATCGCGTCCATCCGTCGTCTCCGGGTCGTTCCTTTCGCGACAAGGAGGCCGTCTCGGTCGCCTCGTTATTTCTGTACATAGATCTTCACCCTCGGAGGACTCCAGGGGCGATCGTTCGCTGGGTTTCACGGCGACCCGAGCGGTCTTCTTGCGTCCTTCGTTCCCGGTCGAGGCGGTTTCAGGATCGTCGAGCGTGCTCCGCTAGGTTCTCGCGAGTTCGTTTGCGTCGGATTCGCGGGCCCATCGATCGTCCGCCATCGTTAACGCTTGGACGATGGAACACGCTTTAGACGGATAAGACGTTACCAGCACGGGAACGTGTACTTTTCCCTTCGTACGCTGATAATTCGTCGGATCAGAGGCATCTCGCGAGAGAAATCAACGTTGCTGATTAGTATCGAGTGTCGTATCGTCCGTCGTCCAAGCGTTGACCCCTTGCAACCAGCTCGTGATTACGTTACGGGGGCCAACCGTGGCGAACGTCGCCGTATTATTGCTTGGTATTCGATGGTCGTTTAGAGAATTGAACTCGCGAAGATGTTTGGGCACGGTTGTCTTCTAGTACAATTCACTCGAGTCGTGGATGAAACGACGTGGATCGCGTTGAACTTGTAACCGGTTAGCAACCAGTTCGACCGAGAATGAATTAACCGCGACGCGTTCAACTGGCCGATTGGATTAACTTAATAAATTCAACTCGAAGCGGGGGCGACTCTTTCGACGCGTGCAGGCTCGGAGTTTCCCGTTCACGCCTTCCACTTCCGGCAATATTCGCTTGTCCCAATCACTCGGTTAACTCTTTGATTATAATTCTCTTGGTGAGTAATTTTATTTGATACGTCTAAATTTAAAACATACCTTGATTTAAACTAACGACCTCGGAGGCGTCGAATCGGTCGCTACCCGCTTAACTGAAAACAACGGCTCTTCTTTTCCCCAGCACGCTTCGCCCAAAGTCCTGAAAGTGTCCCCGTGTATATTGTAAAAATCTCATCCTCGTTGAAAAAATAAACGAATGGATCGTCGTTGCGCCAGCGAAATTATAAATGGCCGAACGGAGTAACGATTCAAGTCGTACGATCGGGGGGGAAATTAACGCGTTGATCGAAAATTACGCCGACAACGGAGGGCTGAGCGAACGCGAAATAGAAACGTGTTCCGCCCGGATCCAGCCCGAAAGCCAGAGCAGCATTTTCGGCGCTGAAATCGCAAAGTAGAAAAACCTGTAAATGAGCGAGCGCGTCGGTACGAATTAATTTAACTCTTCTGCGCGATTTAATCGGCAGAACGAGAGAGAGAGGAGAGAGAAAGAGAGGAGAGAGGCCGGGAACGCGACGCGAAAGGAACACACGCCCCCCGCGAGCGAGCGTTACGCACGCATTCACACGCACACACGCCTAGAGGAACGAAGAGCAACGTCGTTAAGCGCGGGACAAGTTCGGAACATCGACGATTCGGTTGGAAGGATTTGCGCGTAAACTGTGTATTTTTCTAATGATTTAGGACGTTCGGCCGGTCGCGGCACCACGAACGCGCCCGTTTTTCTTTTGCCCCGGTTCACGGGACACACGCAGTCCTCTTACGTTTTCATTTTCTCTAGGTTTAAGAGACGTTAACGTGTATATCTATGAGTTACCAAATAAATGAGAGCGGTTAGAAAAGTTACAACCCCGATCACTCGTCCTCCCCCACCCTTATACGTCCAAATGTGTCTCGATGTTTATTAGTTTATCTCTAACTACTTCAAACGTCGTCCAACCACCAGAGAGGGAAGAAGAGTCCTCCAGGTAAGCATTTCACGATTAATATTCGTACAACCGGAGAGGAGGTGATTCTACATGAAAAAACAAATTGAAAATAAAGAGTAAAATTATTTCTTTTGGGGTGTCGTTGTCCAGAAAATCCACTGTAAATATTCACCGAGCACGCGCGTATTTAACTATGGCTTAGATAAATAGATGTTGACATGATTTCCTGAGCACGTATCATCATTTTATTTGTTCTTAGTATGTTATTATCTTCAATTTTGTCTAATTATGGTCCCCATATTTAACACCCCTTGATTTGTATCTATGGGGTCATGTTAAAACAAACGAGTATAAGAAGAATATTTTATGCACTCCTCGATTACAAGCGAGAATCATTTGGCATTTGAAGAATTAAAGATACAGAATAAATTAGAATCCATTAGTTTATACGAACCTAATTTAGAAAATTGTATATGTAGCATAATGTGCAATTTTTAACAATTTTTTTTAATTTAAATCTACTTTAAATCCATAAACAGAAGTAACACAGTACAAATCGATTTTCTCGATAACGAAACCTCAAATGAACAAATTTTATTCTTTATCTTCGATTTGTTTTTTCATCCAGAATCACCCTTTTACCGCTTGTACTGATACACCCTGTATTTTGATTAAATGCCTGGAAAATCGTTGGTGATTTCAACGTCCGACTGTTTTTCAGTGTAACTAATATTTAAATTTCTCTGGCGCGTCTACCAAAATAAATAAAATAACGAGACCACGCTCACGAGCGTTTTTATTATGTCGATGGACGAACGTTTGCTGTATTTCCGGCCGAAAATCGGACCTAATCTCGGGGAATTTCCGATCGAGTAACGTGCGAGAGACTAATGCGAGGTACTCGCAACGGGGTGTCCAAGGCAAATAAACCGTCCATCGAATATTCATCGGCGGCATCGAGTACGGGGCTCGCGGAAAGTTC